AACCTCAAACTCCTGGGCTCAAGCGATCCTGCTACCTCAGCCTCCCGAGTGGCTGGGACTACAGTCATGCGCCACCATGCCCGGCTAATTTTTTCTATATATATTAGTTGACCAATTAATTTCTTTCTATTTATAGTAGAGACGGGGTATTGCTCTTGCTCAGGCTGGTTTCGAACTTCTGACCTCGAGCTATGGGCCCACCTGGGCCTCCCAGAGTGCTAGGATTACAGGCGTTAGCCACTGCGCCCAGCCCTTATTTATTTCTACCCTTTTATATTGGAACTTTCTACTTACTATGGCTTTTTTCCTTTCAACTCCTCTCCTGCTATTAAGATTTTCTTTACTCCCTTTTTTCCTCCTACTGCTTTAGAAGTTGTGTTCAAGTTCTATTAAGTCACCATGCATAATTTTTATCAATTTTTAACATGCAATCCTGACAAAGTTCAAAATTACCTTCAGCCTCCAGTGAGTATTATAAGAACCTTAATATTCTAATACCAATCATGGCCTTCTCCTATTTTGCTCCTATTTTTTAAATCTCTAAATCTAATTATTTTAATCTTCAATGTTCTACAGTTAATATGTGCTTTTTATTAACTATGTTTCCTTCCTTTACATTTTTTACATCCCACTCCTCCCTTCTAGACTTAATTTCCTTTATTGGTTCTTTCAGCACTAACAATGGTATTCTCAAGTCTTTTGCAAATATATTATCTATATGAAAGTTTATCTGGGTAGAAAATTCAAGGTCAATGGTTATTCTCCCTCTAAACTCTCAGGATCATTTCATTATTCTCCAGCTCCTTAAAACTTCTAAGAAATGTTATCAAACTTACCATTGCTCCCTATTTTCTCTGGTAGGTTTTGTTTGATATTGATGTTTCATAACCTGCAGTTTCACATCAGTGTGTCTAGGTATTAAATTATTTATGACTCAAGTTTAAAACCAGTGCTTCTTGATTCAAAATGTTTATCTATTTTGGAAAATTCTCAACTATCTTTTTTTTTTTTTTTTTTTGTAGAGTCAAGGTCTCACTATTTTGCCCAGGCTAGTCTCAAATTCCTGGCCACAAGTGATCTTCACACCTGGGCCTCCTAAAGTGGTAGGATAAAAGATGTGAGCCACCACACCTGGCCTCAACTCTCTTCTTAACCATTGATTCTCCTCCACTTTCTCCTTCTCAAATCTTTATTAGATGTATGAAAGGAATTCCTAATCCATTTTCCAAATTTTTTTTTTTTTGATACTGGGTGTTGCCTGGGCTAGAGTACAGTGGATTGTCATAGCTCACTGTGACCTACAACTCCTGGGCTCAAGCAACCCTCATGCCTCAGCCTCTCAAGTAGCTGGGACTACAGGCATACGACACTTACACATGCCTAATTTTTCTACTTTTTGTAGAGACAGGGTCTCAATCTTGCTCAGGATGGCCTCGAACTCCCAGCCTCAAGCAATCCTCCTGTCTCTGCCTCCTAGAGTGCTAGGATTACAGGTATGAACCACTGCACCAGTCTATTTCCCATGTTTCTTGGTCTTTCATTTTCATTTCTTTATCCTTCTGAACTGAATTCTGTAAGATCACATCTACCTTCTACATCGATCATATCTATATTTCTTCCACTAGGTCTGCTAAACTTATCCACTTTTTCCAATTCTAGAAGTTATACTTGGTTCTTTTTCAAATCTATATGGTTTTTTTTCATTAACAGCTTGGTTTTAGGATTGACTCCATTTAGGTTTTTAGTAATTTTAAACCTATAATGCTCTTTCAGACTATCTTTTAGAGACTCTAATCCTGTCATTAACTCTCATTTCCTAAAGTTCTGCAACTTTTTTTAACTACGAACTCATCTTTTTGCTACACTTTTTTCTGAGATTCCTTGTGATCTATACTGTAAATTTCCTCCAGAAAAGATTTTTCATTTGTTTTTACCAGAATTCCAAGGGTATTACTGGTCCCAGAACAATTTTTATGTTAATTTCTCATAAGGTTGCCTTGAGCCTAAATGAATATCCAAATTGTGGGCCCAGGTTACAATTTCTCAGGAAAAGACATTTTTTTTCAGTGTCCAGGCTCCCTTGTTATCTCTTATCCTGGTAGAAGTTTTTGTTCCAGGTCATTCCTTCACTGAAGATACAGTCCTTTAAGATGTCCTTCCTTCAATGAAGATACAGTCCTTTCTGTGTTAGTCTAGGATTTTTATGAGTTTCAGTTCCCAGAACCTGACTCTAATGATCTCCAGGTTTCATCTCTTGTCCTTCGTTACATGGGCAATAAAACCCAAGTCTCTAAATGAGGCTACGCCCTCCTTTCCAGATAGCCCCTAAGTTACCACTATTACCTACCATGCTGGTTTCTACTTCAGTTTTGGCAGTGGGGGTTTGCTGTTTAAGTTTTTACATTTTTTTGGTGTTTGTAGATAGAGGATTTTCAAATAACCCTTGGCAGTATCTTGATTTTATAATTTTTATATGTATAACTGATATTATACTTGTGGCTTTAATTTGAAAGATGTCAGTTAATGCACATTTGTAAACAGTATTTGAATATCAGACTCTGACTTATAATATCTACAATTTTTATTTATTGATTGATAACTTAAGTGCTTATACTTATTAAGTTTATAAGTCTGCCCTGTCAGGCATTCAGAGTGATTGAGTCAATTTGATAGATTAAATTTACAAGTGTAGAAGGAATGTTTAAAGGACTTAACTAAAATTATTAGTGGCATTAGTTGGTTAGGGGGAGTTTAATCAGTTAAGTTTATTAACTTAAACATTCAAAGAACAAGTCAAAAAGCACTGTTTTCATACAAAGTCAAAAGTATTATCTTCACACACATATTACAAAATTTATAAATAGTATACCAAGACTAAGAACTTAACAGTCTAGCTTTGTCAATTTAGAAACGAACATCTAGTAAATACTCCTTTTGACACATGAAAGCCAATTTTGATATTTCAAAAAAAACTCGAACTATAAAGTGACAAATACTGGGTGTCTTGGTAATTTAAAGATTCTTCACAGAGTAAACGCCTTTATTAAAAGGATTTGTTCTGTAAAATTTGGATTCAGTCAAAAGGCCACACTCAAGGATTGAGAAGACCACAGGTGGCGCCAGGGCCACAGGTTCCCCACCCAGAAACTACTCAGTCCTATAAAAATAAACCCTAGTTTTATATCAATTACGTTAAAAATTAAGACAGGATAAAAGTTTTTAATGACTACTTATTCACTGAAACTTGGTATATTTTTCCATGAGAATGGAATTTTAATTGTTTTCAATCCAGGAGATTATAAACCCTCCTGAGGGTGTACATCTATGTACTTCTGTGGAGCTTTACCAGACTTCATCCCAAATTATGCACCTAGTAAAAGATGTACCAATGTCTACTTTGGAATAAGAAATTATTCCCTATTCAAGCAAGGATTAAGCAGAAACTGAAAGAAGCAAGTGCAGTTTATAGCCTCTTACATCAAGTAAATGGCCCCCCCTCAAAAAATCAATATCCTGCCTAGCCTCCTTAATATCAATGTTAATCTAAAGAAAGTATCATTCTTATGTCCAATCTTTCTTGCAAATCTGTCATCTTCTCTGACTGCTGCTTCCTTCTGGTCACACATTTCTATCCTTCTGCAAGACTGGCTAATGGGTTTTTTGGTTTTGTCTTTTAAATACTAACAGGTTTGCCCTTAATAAAAACGTAAGCCTGTCAGAAGGCATACGTTTCATTCTAACCATATGGCTTCAGGAAATGTTTTTCCAGCAGAAAAGTGAGTGATACCTAATTCTCATGATGGTTTCTAGCAAACAGATACTTGGGTCTTTTCGGCCTGTGATGTAGCCGGACAATAGAGGACCTTGTGTGATCAGCTAGATCTGCTAAATCAAGAGAACATCCATGTTCCTGACTTTTTATTCTGGTTTAGCAGGATCCAAACTGGATCCTGCTAAAGAGACCACTGCCTCTTTTCCTCTTCCACACAACGGGAAGCCTCTGCCAATTTAACCGCTTCGTGGAAGAAAGGCTGCCTTTGCTTTTAGTCTGCATGTTTTATGGGAAATGCCACCTATGCCTACAGGAGAGTATCAGCAACAGACAAGGCTCACTTTCAAGCCCTTTCAGAAGATAAACAACTGGAGGGGGGAGACGAGTGGCAGGAGAGTGAAGAGGAAGCTGCATTATATGCAAACACCCCCAACTCGAATCCGCGTGGTTACTGCTGAGGGGACGACAGTGAGTACGATTTCGTGAAAGGCAACGTCCTTTGAAAGGGCTCCCAGAGCGTCAAGGCCCCCACCTGATGAATGGGTGAGTCAGGAAGGCCCAGCTCCACTTCACAGATGGGGAAAGTGAGGTACGAGGCGACGAGACGACTGGCCCGAGGCCTCGCTGAAAGATGAGGCGGAGCGGAGAACCAGAAGCACCGATTCTCTCAGGCTGATGCTCTGATCCCGGCTCCCCCCGCCCCTATGATGGCGTAGACGGCCTCCGCCCCCCGACTCACACACACCCTCCCCTGGGAGCGGCCAGTCTCCTCAGCTTCCAAGGACAGGGCCAGAAGACAGGAGGCCCGGAGCGCTCCCGCCGTGGTGTGCAGCCAGGGAGCGTTGGGAGCGTGCGTGCCTCCAGTCCAACATGGCGGCGGCCGCGGCCCCCCCCCCCCACCCAAGCCTCCCTCAGGGCCGGAGACTCTCCCTCGGGGCCCTCCGGTGGGCGGGAAGACGGCCCAACCCTGCCAGGCCCTTCTCGCCGCTGCCGCTGCTCGCTGAAGGAGTCACCTACCCGACATGACTAACGGCCGCGGCGCGGAGCCCCCAGAGCCCGCCGAGAACAAGGAATACCACAGCCAGGCGGCGCGGCGGCCGGAGCTGTATTGAGGGCGGCGCGGCGAGCTGAGGCCGACTGCGGGGCCTCGGCAGCCAATCAGCGGGCAGCGGGCGGTACCACGGCGCCAAGGCAGGAGGGGTGATTCCGCGCTGGTTCCAGCCGCCGAACCCGAGTCCCACTTTGTTCTCCCCTCCGCGAACGGTACCATTATTGAGAGGGAATTGAGAAGAGAAAGTACCAATGTTACCACTGTGATGGGGGGAGGAAGCTGAAGCCACTCGCTGCGTCCTACTTAAAATCTTAATTCTCACTTTATTGGGTCTGAGAGAATTCGACGTTAGGAAGCGAAAGAGGAGGGACTTTATAAACATAGACTATTTGGTTTTAAAAGGTCTTTCTTTCCCTAAAATTTCGAATGGTATGTCCTAGTCTGCTCTGCTTTCGCTGCAGGGAGCTTGAGCCACCTGGGGGCGTTCGTAGTCGAAAAGCTCGGGGACGCGAAGTCGTGACCAGCTCTGGTACCTGACCGCCTCCGGGTTTGTTATAACCGCCTTGCGGAGTGGAAGACAAGAAGATACTGGAACAAAAGTGTGCGTTAAGATGAATCACACACGAACCTGACCCTAAGAACGTGGCGGGGCGGGGGCCTTGAGCTTCGCTTTTCAGCTCTATAGTAACCGCAAATTCTTGATTGTTAGGCACCTTACTTACATCATCTCATCTGGTTCTCACAACCGACTGATGAAATCTTTTCTGCACGTTGCAGATAAGAAGATAGAATTCGCTTGCCTTAGGTCGTACAGTCAGTAAACCGCCAAGGTGGGATTTGAAGCCTGGTAGCCTGACACCGTTGCCTGTGGGTTGAAACCATCATGCTGTTCAGCGTAGAGGTGCCTAGGTTCTATAGTAGGAAAGGGGGCTGGGACAACTCAGAGAGCCAGCAAGGACATTTTCTGGGAGAGCATGACATTTGAGCTAAATCCTAGGTGATGAGAAGTTGACCACGTGAAAAAGTGGGCAAAAGGGCTTTCCAGACCAGTTGTAGAACAAGTAATTCAGTATGTTTGGAATATTGATTCTCGTGGGAGAGTGGTAGGAGATGATGCTGAAAAGTAGAGGGCTCAATAGCTGGAGCCTTGTCATTAGGGTTTGTGCTTTATCTTAAGGGCAATGGGAACCACTCATCAGAGGAGTTTAAAGGAGAACAGTAAGATCAGATTTGTATTTTCTGGCCGTGGAGTGAGGAGTGCATGGAGATGAGTGGTGCTTAAAAGCAGGTAGTCCCAGCTACTTAGGAGGCTGAGGCGGGAGGATTCCTTGAGCCCAGGAGTTCAAGGCTACAGTGAGCTATGATTGCATCACTGCACTACAGTCTGGGCAACAGAGCGAGACCCCATCTCTTAAAAAAAGCAGGGAGACCAATTAGGTGGCCAAGGCAGTAGTGCTGGTGAAAGATCATAGTGCCCCGGACTTAAGTAGTAGCTGTGGAAATAAATGCAGGTTAAGTGAAGAGATTCCAGAGATCCTTAGGGGTAGACTGCACAAGAGCTGGTGATCAATTTGGGTGGGAGGGGCTAGCAGAGAAAGAGAGAGGAGTCTGGAGTGAATTCTAGGTTTCCTTGCTTAGACAAGTGGCCCAGTGGTGGTGTCATTCACTGTGTCATTCACAAGAGGAGGAGCAGGTTGTAATGGGGGTGGAAAGGTAAGTTCGGAATTAATGCCTTCAGGTCAGAAAAAAGGCATGAGGTCATCTCTCATTATACTAGCTATAATTGTGCCCTCAACTCTAGATAGAGAGGGTCACAGAGCCCTTTAGTCAGGTTCAAACAAGCAAGGCTGCAAGACTAAAGTAATAAAAATTATTTTATGACTAAGAGCCATTTAACTGTTCGAGTATATATAAAGAGATAGAGGAAAGCAACCCAGAGGAGGAGATAGGCATGTGCAATAGCAGGAGACAATTAGGTTGCAGGGGGAGAAAGGGCTCTTAGATGCTCTCTAGAGGAAGCTAGAGGGTGGGTCTTTTAAAATCTTTTTTAAGAATTTTTTTTAAGAATGAAATACAGAAATGTTGTATTTCATGTTGAATGAAATACAGATCAATGTTGCCCATTGATACAGATCAATGTTGCCCTGTATTTCATGTTGAATGAAATACAGATCAATGTTGCCCATCATTGATCCTTAAGTTTGTACCGCCATTTATTCATTCATTCTTCACTCAACTGCCACATCTGGAAGTCTACTATGTGTCAGGCCCTGGAGGTATTGAAATAGGAAGGATGACCCTTGCTCTCCAGGAACTCCAGTCTCATAACAAGACAGTACCAACCTGTGATTTCAATCAGCTGCTGAATGTGCTAGGATTCGAGGATGCAGATGGTGCTCTGAAAACACAAAAGAAGAGCAGCTCACCCACATGAAGGATGGAGGGTATCAAGGAAGGCTTCCTGCAGCAGGTGCCTCCTAAACTGAGTTATGAAGAAAGAACAGGAATTCGCCAGCAAGGTTATACCAGGAACATCATGCTCCAGGTAGAAAGGGCTGTATTTGCAAAGACCAGGAGAAAACAAAGTTCTGGGAATTGCCAGTAATTCAGTCTGGCTGGTCTGTGGAGTTGCAGGGATGGGAAATTGTGGTAAGTGGCATGAAAGAAGTAGGCAGAAGCCACATCCTGAAGAGCCTTGTGTGCTTTTGGAGGAGTTTGGACATTAAATTAAAGACAATGGGGAACTTCAGAGGTATTTAATCAAAGGACTGACATTGATTTCTGATATCCATTATCTCTTTTAGTCTTCTAGACAGACTTGTGAAATAGGTATTGCTGTTATTCACATTTTGTAGATAAGGACACTGAAGCTCAGGAAGGTGAGATTCTTTAGCAAGTTCATACAGGCCTTTGGATCAAGCTCACTGTCTTTTCACAGTGTCCCTGACCTCTGAAAGTTGCAAGAGAGACCTCCTCCTTGGTCTGCTTGGCTCTGGAGCTTCCTTCCAATGGGCCTTCTCCGCCACACCCTGACTCACAGATTGACTCCTGTGCCCTCCTCTCTTCCAGGCTTTTGCTTGGAAATGATTCCACTGGGAATGATTATCTACAACAAGCTTTAATTGTCACCCAGTCATTCTTCCTGCTACAAGATCCTCCTCCCTCTACGTCCAACTATCCTGGCCTCAATCTGCATATTTAGGGAAGACAGCAGGTACATTTTACACATCAGCTTAACAGATTGTATCTGGGAAGGTCTTGGTACAGGACCTGTTTGCCCCTGATCCATTCCTCACGTCCTCACAGGAAGAGCAGGATTGCCTTGTTTCAGCTTCAGAAACTCCCACAGGCAGTAGCTTCCAGCTAGAATTGGCCCATGGGTGACCCGGTGGGAAATTAGTTGGGAGAAAAGAGAAAGAAAGAGAGGAGTGAGGGTTATCATTCCTCCTCCCTGTCTGCCTCAGGAGGTGTCTCAGAGCTCCAGCTTCCATTGGTGACCCTGGCTTCAGTAACCTGCCTCTGTCCCTCCACCTGTGGCTTGTAGAGCCATCTCGCTGTTGATAATTTCTGAGTTGCCTCCATCCCCTGGTTAGCTTCCCCCACCTGTCTGCCACTGGGGCGGGGCCTCCTTGTAAGGACGTTGTAAAGACTGTGAACTTACTTGGAGTGAGTACTTAGAAGCCTTTAGAGGGAGCCATTTGAGCAGAGTCCCAACATGATCCAACATGATCTGACCTGTTTTACCAGGATTACTTGGGCTGCTACTTAAAAGAATAGACTGTAGGGGGCAAGAGAGGAATCAGGCAAAGGTTATTACTTGGATGGACCAGAGTAAAACCAGATCTGCCACCATGATTTTTGCCCCTTTTGAAATCCTGTGGAACCCACAGTTGTAGCAAATGATTCAAGGCTCGCATACTTTGCCTATGTGATCACTAGTTGGGTTGCATAATTCCTTTCTGAACCTCCAGTGCCTAGCACAGTACCTGAAGGGATAGGCATTTTTTAAAAAAGAAAAAAAAATGTATTCAATGAATGAGTAAATAATTTTTTTTTAAACAGGGGCATAACTTGTCTTGCTGTCTTATCTGTAAACTTCTCAAGCTCAAAGGGCTTATCTAGGACTTTGCTGTGATTCCCATGGGACACAAAATAAATGTGCAGTGAATGTTTGTTGAAAGAATGACAGCTGCTTTGTGCCAAGTGCCACAGGCGGGGTGAAGCCATTGTCACCAGCCCACCCCCACCCCAGTGGAGGTGTCCCTCAAGTCCTGCTCCTCTGGCCTTCCTAGACAGCAGGCCTCCCAGCATGACCACACTGAGGCTCCAGTGCCACAAGGGGAGGATCCTTGTAAATGACCGGGCTACCCCGTCTCCCGACAGTGGCAGGCGCTTCCTGTTTGGGGTGGAAAGGAACCAGACGCTTTCCTGTTAGCAGGTCTTTTAAGCAAAGCAGCAGATGCTGAGCAGGTCCTGGCCCGGCCTCTCAGGCCAGATGCCTAGCGGTTAGACAGCCTTTATGTGGAAAGGAAGTGAGGCACAGCGCCAGATTGGCCAGGCTTTTATTGTGCTCCTTGCAAGTCCCCTGGGTCCTGGTGTGAGTAAAAAACAAACCAGAAGAGGCTAATGCCCTGCTAAACCATGATGAGAGTTAGGGTAGATGGGGCCGCTCAGAGACAGAGAGCATTGCCTAGATAGGAGATGCTCATGTGATTGCCCTGGGACAGGCTTGTGTATGTCATTTGGATGTTGTGAGCATGCTCAAGTGTGAACCTGTGCACAGAATACATGAGTGCATGCTTGAGTCTGTACACCTGATATCCATCACTTTGCAGAATTTAACAGTTTCTTAGTTTGCTCCCCATAACACATGAATAGAATAATAGAAAAGGCAGAAATTATTTTCCTCCCATTTTAAAATGGCAGATACTCAGAGAGGTTCGTGGACTTGTAAAGGTTACTAAGAGTGTGAAAAAGTCAAGATCCAAACCCAGCTAGATGTGGTGGCTCACACCTGTAATCCCAGCACTCTGGGAGGCCAAGGCAGGAGGATCACTTGAGGCCAGGAGTTCGAGACCAGCCTGAACAACATAGTGAGACCCTGTGTCTCCAAAAAAAAAAAAAAGATTCAAACCCGAGTCTGTCTTCCTCCAAATTTCTTGCTTTTTTCAGTCCCACAGAAGCATGTGCATGTGTGCATATGTACAGGGAGGTAGAGAGCTAGGTATGCTTATGTAACCCAGACTGCTGAGACTACATCCGCATGTGCTAGAGAGGAAATTTCTCTTCCAGAGGCAGAGATGGTTACTAGAAAGTCAGGGCTTCTGGAATCAAATCACAGCTAAAAACACAGAGGCTACGGCAAATAACAGATCCAAATGATCACAGCTGGAGTCCTCACGACTCTAGAGACAGCCTCCTCTCCAGCTCTCCCCAACTAATGTCATGTTCTCATGATTCCTCATATTATTCCTGTTACTATGGTTGTTTGAGATTGGTCTTTTAATGAGTGCCTTTCTCCAGAGCTCAGAATTCCTTCTGATAAAATCTGTTTTGTGTTCCATACACTTCCTGAGGAGGAGGAAGAAGCAGAGACAAAGCTGATTGTTCTTCATATTATTAAGAGAGAAACTGAGGCCCAGAGTAGCCTTGTCCAGGTTCACACATCCTGCCTGATCCCAGGGGTCCTGCTGCTGCCTTCTGCCAGAGCAGGAGAAATGGCTGGGGCATGGCAGCTGCCAGACACTGCCCTGAGCAGGCAGCATGCCCAGGTCCTGGCATGAGCTCCACAGAGTCCTATCCACTCGGGGAGGGCTGGAGGCACTGTGGATGTGAGCCGAGCCCCAGTGCACAGAGAGAGAAGGAGGAGAAGCAGCTCTCTTTGAAGAGGAGGTGTGGAGAGGGCTACCAGCCAAGCTGGGTCAGGAACCTGCTCAGCCAAGCTGGGGAGGGAAGGAGGGAGAGAACTAGAACCTTAGAAAACCTAGAGCTGGCTTCCTCTTGGACGCTGGTATTTAGAATTTAGTGATTCAGTAGGTCTGGAGTAGGGCTCAGGAATCTGACTTTTTAACAAGTGCCCCCAGGTGATTGAGTGTAGGTAACCGAAGACTCACTCCCATTTTATAAATTTGACTTGAGGCAAGATTGTGTAATGTTCAAGAGCCCAAGATCTGGAATTAAAACAGCCAGGTTTACATTGCTGGCTCCATTACTAGAATTGTGACCTTGGACAATTGATATGATCTCTCTATGTCTCAGTTTTCTCATCTTTCAAATAAGGATGCTTATAATAGTAGCTTTCTCATAAGGGAGTTGCAAAGATGCACTGACATGATTTATGTTAAGCACGTAGCATATACTTGGCTCATGTCAACTTCTCAAGTATTAATCATTTTCATTTGCCCCAACTACTCATTCCCATCCCCACATCCACTTCCACCAGAGGAAGAAATAATGGTACTGGATTAACATAGGGACTTGTTACCACAGTATTGTTTTGTACATGGGTAATCTTAGGTCAGACTTTGAGAATCCCTGCTCCCCAAGTCCATTCTCTAGTCACTCTCTGGAAGCCCTTCCTACGAACTGAGCCCCTTTCCAATAAACTACCTTGCCTTTCTCATCTTCCTTTCCTCCCCAGACTCCCCTCCCATCCCCCAGTGTGCACACAGCAAGCTGCCCTTCTTCCTCCTGCCCTTACCCAAAGTGATTTGGCTTAGGATGTATCCTTGAAAGTGAAAAAACACAGCAAGTTAGTTGTGGGACTTCACAGGACCCTGGACTTTAAAGAAGATCACAGAATTTGATGCTCTGGGATTCATGAGTATACTTCAGAGGTGGAAGGGGACTGGAGCCTTCTGCTACCCAGGCTGGCTTCCTGGGAAATGGAGACATCCTGAGAAAAAGCATGGCTGAAACTCAGGGTGGGTGTCGGATGGAGGAAGCTTTGTTCTGCATAAATTCTTGTGGGCACTTCCACCTCTGGGTAGCATCTTAAGGTGGCCACAAGCAGAGGTAGACTAGAGAGAGGTGGGGATAGGATAAAATAATCAAACCAAGGACAGCAAAGGAAAGCAGAGGAAGTCAACATTCAAACATTCAGTCAACATTCAGTGGTACTAGTTTGAGGGGTCCAAGGCCCAGGGCTAACCTAGGTTGTAGAGAAAGACAGGATCAGCTTTCTGCATGGCCAAGCTGGTCTCCTCCGAACGCTCAGCCATCCAGAGGACCTCAGCTTCCCCTCCTCCTCTCACCCCAGTGCAGCTGAAATGGAGAACCTATAGAATGTAAGGGAAGAAGAGATGGAGAGATTCTTCCTAGAGAAAGAATTGGCAGACCCAGGTCTGACTCCAGTTTGACCCACAGTATCCTCACCAACTAAGGCTCCTTGGGGCTTCCTGACCCAAAGCAGGGCTATTTGACCTATCAAAATCCACTTGTTGGAAAAAGCCACCACATTTCATCTCATACATGTAACCTTCACATACACATACTCTCTCTCTCTGTCTCTCTCTCTCTCTCTCTGTCTCTCTTTCTGTCTCTCTCTCTCTCTCAGATTGCCAGATAAAATAGATGATATCCAGTTAACCTTGAATTTCAGATTAATGATGAATAATTTATACTATGTCCCAAATATTGAATAGCACACTTTTTAAAAATTATTCATCATTAATCTGGAATTCAAGGTTAACTGCAGGTCCTGCACTTTTATTTGCTAAATCTAGCAACCCTATGTCACTCCCCTTCAGAATCTCCCTTCCCAAGGTCCACTGCAGGACTTTGCTTGAACCAGCAGCCATGTCACAACATGTTTTTGTTTGTTTCATTTTTTATTTTATTTTTTTTTATTTTTTAAAAGGCTGGTCAAGTGTTTTGTGTTTCTTTTAGAGAACCAGGGTCTTGTTATGTTGCCCAAGCTAGCCTGCTGGACCCAAGTAATCCTCCTGCCTGGGACTACAGGCTCATGACACCATGCCCGGCTCACAGTCTGTTCTGTCCTTGACTGGAAACCTTCCTACTGGTCTGCCCAGCTAGACTGGAAGCTCTCTGAAGGCAAAACCCAGCCTTCAAGTCCCCCATCTCTAGGGCACTGACTCAGTCAGGGATGCTTTTTACGGATGTGCACAACAGCACTCTCAGAGAGGGGCCATAGATCTGCAAGGAAACCCTTCTTCAGCTCTATGCACCCAGCAGATCCCTGACACAGTGATATGCCTGTACATCTTTTTTCATTGGTCTGCCCAGAGGAGCACCAGCTTTTAATTGGTCCACCCAGGATGGGTACCCTTTTTTCATTGGTTGGTTGGAAGATAAGCCGAGCCTGTTTCCAGTTAGTCTCCCCCAAAGGAATGCCTGTTTCTAAGATGTCTATTCAAAGAACTTTTTCCAATTCCTCCACCCTAGTGGAGTCTTTTTCTAAATGTTTTCTAAAAACATTGTGTGCTTCCTAGGCTCTGAGCCTTAGGGTTAGAACACTGTATTACTTTTGTTTAGCACTTTATGTTTCGATTTATTTTTACACACATTAACTCATCCAATCCCATGAAGAGCCCCAGAGGTCGGAATCATTGTTCCACTTGCTGTTTACATATTAGTGAGTTGAGGCTAAGAGAAAGACAGCAACCTGCTCTCAGTCAGGAAGACAGATAATGAAAACAGTTTACTTTTGTTCAGTATGAGTTTAGCATAGATTGTCAGGTAAACTGTTTCTCTCCATCCTTTCTTTATTTTTTTATTTTCAAAACTGTTTTTAGAGACAGAGTCTTGCCCTATCGCCCAGGCTGGAGTGCAGTGGCACAATCATAGCTCACTGCAGCTTGAATTCCTGAGCTCAAGGGATCCTCCTTCCTCAGCCTCCCTGGGCACGCACTACCATGGCCAGCTATTTTTTATTTGTTTTTTTTTATTTTATTTATTTTTATTTATTTATTTTTTTTATTTTTTATTTGTTGTAGGGATGGGGGTCTTGCTACGTTGCCCAGGCTGGTCTAGAACTCCTGGCCTCAAGTGATCCTCCCGCCTCAGCAACTTAAAGTGCTGGGATTATAGACGTGAGACACCGCGCAGGGCCTCCATTCCAGTCTTATAAACTGTATGAGATGTATAAAGCCAGGCACTTTACACTTATTTTGTCTTTTCATCTTCTTACAACCCTGGGAACAAAATATCATGTGTTTTCATTTTATTGGTGAGGAAACTAAAGCTTGAAGTAGTTGAAGCCTTTGTCAATGGTCACACGGCTGCAAGCCACCACTTAGTAAGTGCGTACTGCATGATGCCATGCACCGCGCTCAGTTGCTTGCAGGCGTTATTATTTCATTAAATACTCTCAATAGTCACATGATGTCGCTATTCTTATTGTCCTCATTTACTGATAAGAATAGTGCGTTCAGAGAGCAAGAGTGACTGGCCCAAGACCACACAGCCAGCAGGTGGCTGAGGCAGGATTCCCACGGCTACCAAAAAAGCAGATCTGGAACTCAGACCCGGTTCTTCTGACCCCAGCCCAGGGCTCGTCTCACACTCCAGGGCCAGGCTCCCCGCCTGACCGAAGCAATCGGCGGCCCTCAGGTAGGCCAGGACCCCTCTTCATTGAAGTCTTCGGTAGCCACAACTGCCAGGAGAAGGAAGACCTTTCTCCCCCCGCTCTCCCTGGAGAGATCCGGATCCACCCGGGGCGGCGGGCGCGAGACCGGTCCGCAGGGCGCGGCGGGCGCAGGGCGCGGCGGCACAGCCAGCGGAAGAGGCTCCAGGACGGCCGCGCGTTCCAGCCGCGGAGCCGGTGGGTGGGGCACGAGCGCCGGGCTCCCGCCCCCTCCTCCCGCCCTTCCTTCCTCCCTCCCTCGGTCCCGGGGCCCGCGGACCCGCGGGCAGGCACTGCCCCGGCTGGACGACCTCCGGCCGGCTCCCGGGGAAGCGCCGCGGAGGAGCGGGGCCGCTGGCGAGCCCCTGGGACGGTCCCTCTCCGCGCGGGGGCGGCGCGGAGCCGGCGCCTCGCGGGGGTCCTGGCAGGGCTGACGGCCGGCGGTTCCCCGCACCCGGATCCCAGCGGCAGGGGCCGGCGAGATGGTCGCGCGCGCCGTGCTGCTGCTGCGCGCCCTGCCGCTGCTGCTGTGCGGCCGCCTGGACGCGGGGCCCGCGGAGCGCGGAGGCCGGGAGCTGCGCGAGGAGGCGGAGGTACGGGGTCTGCCGGGCGGAGAGCGGTCCGCGTGCTCCAGACCCGCCAGACGTTCGCGGTCGGGCCGCCTGGCAGTCCCCTCCGAGCGGACAATCTGCGTTACCTTCCCCCCAGTCCTCCGTCCGCTCCACGCTTGCACACAAAGAGCCAGGGCAGCGTCCTCCCGGTGCCAGGGCTGGAAACGCAGGCACGCGGATCCGCATTGATGGGCGGGGGCGGGGGCGGGCGACAGCGACTAGAACCCACAGAAGGCGAGAGCTGAGAGAGGACCCCCGTGCCCCAGTTTGGCACGGAGCCACTGTCCCCCACCACCTAGGCTGGGGAGACTCGACGTTCATTCGTCGGATGCCCCCGGACCGTGTGGAAGCCCCCAGCCTGGTGTGGTGGCGCGGGTGCCGCTGACCCTCCGAGATGCGGGACGGCGCCCGGGCTCCTGGCCCCCGGCTGCCGCTGACCAGCTCGAGCAAGCCATTTAAACTGCTCAGACCAGTTGCGTCGTCTGTAAAATGAGTAAGAGTAGTATGCGCTCAGAAGTTGCTTCTACGGAGTTTTGTTAACGTATAGGGCTTCAGGACTGAACTTGAGAAAAGGGGGCAGAGAGGGGGGGGTTGGCCCTTAAAGATTTCCTATATCGTTTTCTTACTTTGGACCCCACTGCTCGCTATAGGTTGCACAAGGGGAACTCTTTGTGAGGTAGGGGTGGGGATTGGGGCAACTATTTTCTAGATTAAGGTGATCATAATGACACAACAGCATCGTTTCTTTCTTCCCCAAAGAAGCATCTCTGTTTGTGTTCTTATCTCTTCTCAAGAATAGGACCGGAGTCTCCAGTATTTTAAGGAAAAGGGATATGAATAAGTTTTAAATTATTGAGCCCAAGGCTCTGCTCTGAGACTCCTGCTCTTCTAAGAGCTTCATTTCTGCCCTAAAACTGCCAGTTGAGAGCTTCTCAGTCCCCTGCCTACTCCCCTGCCCTAAAAGGGGCAAGCTGAATTGGGGGAACCTGCGGAGTGGGGGGGGGGCCGTCCCTGAATCAGCCAGCCCCCGTCGCAGCCCTGCAATATCTGGAAGTGACCCTGCTGCAACCAAGGGATCCTCTCTCCAACTCCTTCAGCCCCTCCCCTTCCAAGCACGGCCTCTTGCTCTGTGCTCTCTGCTTTTGCACATGCAGGGAATCACTTTGTTTCTCTGAATGTAGCCTCTTACAACATCGAGCACAGAGTCCTTGCAGTCCCAGGAGAAGGCTTCTGTCTACCAGGCCAAGTCTTGTTAAGAGTCCCACCCAAGTCCGGGTCCCAGGCAATCCTTGGCAGCGGAACAGAGGCAATATCTTCGCTGCCCATGCCTGTGGTGGCCCCAGATGGAGAGAATTTCATCCTGGGGTATGCTTGGGAAACTTAATATCTAGCAGACTGAATCTCTTTCAGCCTATTTAACATAAATTTGGGGAAGGGCATTTTTAACTTAGAGAACAAAGAAATAATTTAAAAGCATAAAACTATGGAAATGTGTAAAGGATGTGTATGCGTCTGGCATTACGTCTGGCATGCAAATATATTAATATCAGTTGTGGGGTGGAGTCTGTCTATGTATAAACGTGTTTCTATGTATGATTACTTCCATGGGCTTCGGTGCCAGACAGACCTGAATGCAAACCACGGATAAGTCATTAACGTCATGATCAACTCGTTTTCTTCTCGTGTAACAATGAGGATTAAATCTATTTCACAAGATTGTTGGTGCGTTCATTATGGAGAGTCGGTCTATTGTAAAATGCTTAGCACGCAGTGCGCTGTAGTTGCCGTGATATACGATAGAAGTGGTCTAAAAAGGGAGGGTTGCCTCTCGGTATTGTTTTTTTTATTTTTTTTTTTGAGACAGTGGGGGGTTCAGTCTCTTCATTCCAGGCTTAGAGTGAGTGGCCGTGGCAACATCCTAGTAAGCTCAAACTCCTGGCGTCAACGACTCTCTGCCTCGACCCTCTCAATGTAGCTCGGGACTAAAAGGCACGAGGCCACATATGCCCGGCTTTGTATATCTATATATATTGGTTGGCCAATTAATTCTTTATTTTTATCTCCCCCGGTAGAGACGGGGTCCTCCTCAGGCTGGTTTTTTGAAACTCCTGACTGAGCAATCGCGGCCTGACTGCCAATGCTAGGATTACAGGGCGGTGGAGCCACTGCGTCCACTATATTGTTTTGTATTGTTTGTGTTTTTTGAGGAGGTAGTCTCGGCTTTGTTGTCCAGTAGAGGGGTGGAGTGCCATGGCGATCAGCCTAGCTCACAGCAACTCCAATCATGGCCTTCAGCAATCCTGACTGCATCCTACTGCCTCAGCCTCCTGAGTAGCTGGGTAACTACAAGGGCATGGCCACCATGCCGGCTAATTTTGCTATTGATATCAGTTGGCCTAATTAATTGTCATTTCTTTATAATGTAGGATACGGGGTCGTGCTCTTTCCTCAGGCTTGGTTGAATTCCTTACCTTGAGCAATCCCGCCCGCCTCGGCCTCCCAGAGAGCTAGGATTACAGGCGTGAGCAACCACGGCGGGCCTCAGTATTGTTTTTGATGTTATTATTATCTTTATCATTATCTTGGAGAACAGAGCTTTAAAGTCCTGGCTTGGAAACCAGCTCTCCACAATGATAACATAGGACAAAATATGCAAGCAACTATTTTCAGCATTGGACAACAGATTCCAAAGAGACAATGTTGCAGTTACTATGGCTACATTACAAATTACCCCAAAGCTTAGTAAAGTCAAACAATCATTTATTAAGTTCACAGATACTGTGGGTTGAAATTTCAAATAGGGCACATCAGGGCAGCTTGTCTCCACTGTGCAGCGCCTGGGGGGGGGATCATCTGAAGGCTGTTTACTCACATATCTAGCAGCTGATGCTGGCTGTCAGCTGGGGGCCTCAATTCTTCTCTAGGTGGCGACTAGGTCCCAAGGGAGGGGGGGAGAGAGAGATTGATTTTCTTTTTATTACTTAGTCTTAGAATTTGCAGAGCACCACTTGGAGTTGCTGCACTCCATTGCCTAGAACAGTCAGGAGCCCCCACCCAGGTTCAAGGGGAGGGAGCCACAGACCCCGCAATCAGTGGGAAGAGTGTTGAAGTCACATTGTAGAAGCGCATGGTAATGGGAGATGTCATTGTGATCATTTAGGGGAATACAACCATCCACAGAAGGGAAGCCCACAAAGTGAGCACTCTGATTACCCCAGCTCTTTGCTCCTGAACAATTCTCGGACTGCAGTGCCGGGAGCTAGACCCCACACAGAGCACAGCAGTCCTGCTGAGCTGAGGTGGCAAAGGTCAGAGTTCAGGGGTGTTGAAGCAGCTGTAAGTGGAGCAGTATATCACAGAGGAGGGAGCTACACTGAAGGGGGTTCCCATAAGTCAGTATGGGGGTTCACTGAGGACTGTGCTGGCTCGTGTAGGGTGAGAGATTGCAAAGTTTGCCAAAGAACAGCTGGTATGTGATTGAGAACAGAAAAAAGACTCTAAAAGTGGAGTAGTTCTGGAAGTCTGTTGGTAGTCTGGGCAGCCAAAACCGGAAACTCCTTAACACCTGGGTATCCATCTGAAACACCAGGACGCCGTGCTTTAGGAGTAAGGACCATGAAGTAGAATAAGACCTACTCTAACAAAGCTTGGAAATGGGTAAACATACAATACTTCCTGCTTTGTCATAATTTCCCTAAAAGACAACTGACTACTTAAAGCAAAACAATAATACTTACACATCTGTGAATTGGCGTGTCAGGTGTGAAGTAAGAAATGGGATGTGTCAAGTGGGAAGTGTAGAGTGTTCTAGTACTGCTACAACTTTAAGTGAGCTAAGATAGGGTAAGGATGCACTTAGATAAGATTAATGGAGTCACAGAAACAAAACTGAAAAAACTTAAAATCGCGTGTAATCCTAGCACTCTGGGAGGCCAAGGTGGGTGGATTGTTTGAGTTCAGGAGTTCAAGACCAGCCTGAGCAAGAGTGAGACCCTGTCTCTACTAAAAATAGAAAGAAAATGAGCTGGAAAACTAAAAAATATCTAGAAAAAATTAGCCAAGCATGATAGTGCATGCCTGTAGTCCCAGCTACTGGGGGGGTGGGGGTGGGGGCTGAGGCAGAAGGATTGCTTGAGCCCAGGAGTTTGAGGTTGCTGTGAGCTAGGCTGATACCACAGCACTCTAGCCTGGGCAACAGAGTGAGACTCTGTCTCAAAACAAACAAAAAAAAAAGTTAAAATCAAGCCTTGACAAGATCTGTAGACTAATTTCTGTGTTTATATATTTGCATATCCTGCACATTCCATATAAATGAAATCATTATAATATGTGGTCTTTGGCAACTGGATAGTTGGAGATTTTAATACCTCTCTCCT